GGATAAAGAGATGCTCTGAACAGCTCATTTGTTCCCCAGTCAATTATTATAAAATTTGTAAGCACTTCACAGCCAGTTTAAACTATGTTTATAATACTAAAACAATGAAATTAAGCACAAAAGTTGTTTCCTTAGAGATATTTCAGTAGAGCCTCAATATGCTCAGGAAACAAATAAGAACACTAGTTAATAAGGGAAAATGTAATTTAAAAAATAACACTATTTTTGGATGGCAATTTTAAAGTTAACACTATTTTCAAAGATTGCTATTTATCTACTTTTAAATTACCTATCAATAAAAATTTTAAACACCAATCCAGAATAACACTGCACCATTTTAGAGACAGAGAAACTAAAGGATAAAAACCAAAATGCTTAATACTAGGCCATGTGGAAAAGACAGCAGCATTATCTGGTTTGCAACACATGGCTCCAGTCCACTGTTCTAAATACCAATATTGCCTCTTGCACATACTCGACGTTTCACCCAAAAATTATAAGATTTTTTTTTCGATCTGTCACTAAATTCCTCTATTATAACATTTAATTCCTGAAATAAATGTCCTCCTCTGGGACATTTAAATGCTAAGGCAGCAATCCCATACCAAAAAAATACATGCTGTAATCAGATACCCAACCATACTACACATTAACTCAGCACAAAAAGTCCGTTTTAGAATGAAGATCTCTCAGTAAGTATCAATCACATAGCAACACTTAATAATAGTGGAAATATATAATAGAGTACTGACTTTACATCTGGAAGAGCCAAGCTAAGACTACATCAATCCATTTCACTGTTTCTGAGTTGGCAGTAATTATAAAACAGACAAACAGAATTAAATGTAAATTGAAAAAGAAAAAAAAAATCTTCACGAAATCCTTTTTATAAGTTCCTATTTAACACCCCCATTAAAAGATGAGACCCAAAAACAGCCAGGATGTTTTCCAATCCCAACGCATGTGTTTCCAAGCATGAAGTGAGCCAAAAGCACAAAAAGAAAAGCCCTGCAAACCGTGAGAGCAGAATGTTCATTAACCTCTACATGATAATCCTTTCGTAGCTGCATCTTAACTAGTTACATATTCATAATCATTTACATTATTTAAAGGACCGTCAATGAAATTTTCTGAGCTATATCCATTAGCGACAGTGTTAAAGGTTACAGAAGATAGTCTACTTAATGTTTCCAGAAAGCCTTTTTAATTAGTAAATATGTAAATTTGGCACATATCCTTTTTATGTTTAAAAAACAAGTCAGTGGCAGAGTGGCATGTGTTCTAGCCGTCACCCCCCAGTCCACCCTCCACCTTGTTCGAGCCATCCTTCCCCCCTCCCCAGCCCTTCTCTTTCCTAAAATGGTCTCCCTGGGAACAGTCAAGGATAGACCAACGACAAAAATCCATTTCATAATTTACAAGAGAAATGTTCACTACCAAAAGACTGCCTTACATCTAAACTCTTTATTAGTTACATATACTGTTTAGAACATCAGAGACTGCAGTTAAGTGCTGTCCAAATGTAGACTAGAGAAGTGATATTTTGGAAATCAGAAACAAGGGGAAAGTAAAGAGGCGGAACTGAAAACACATGGGACAGCCTTCTGATGGTGATCTACTCTTACCTTTGCTTATGTGTGACAACTCATAATATAAGATTTTATTCATCATTAAATCAAGTGTTTTCCTCAGAAGCTAAAGGAAAGGTTATTTACCAAGCACTGTCCTATTAACCAAAGGTTAGCACATTAAAATAGATATTTTCTTTCAAAAAGTGCAGTCTATAAAGTGAGCTCTGAATGTAGGAAATTTGATTTTTCAAACTTTTGGGAAATGTTTCCCAGAGGGCCAAACAGTGGGAAGTATATCCACATTTTAATGAGAAAATAGTGTATGGATTTTATAATACCTTATTTTCTCAGTTAAGTAAAAGGTATTATAAAGAAAAAAATTTTATTCAAATTTTTTTTAAATCCTCACTAAATTGAAAACAACTATTAGCTCTAAAACTATGTTGCACAAATTTTCATCTATTAGGCTTGAACATTTTCTTTTTATCTGTTTTTAACTAAACAAATACTCTAAGTATCTTAGTTCACCAAAGTTCTGGGATTTAAATTACTTTTCCAGAAGAGACTTTTTTAGGGCAAATCCTCTGGTCCCACACCATTTTCACTCTTACTTTTCTACAAATATTTTTACTTCCTCTCCTACATTTAAAAAAAACCAAAAACAATTTAGACTATTTCTGAACCAAGAATATACATTACTTGTCCCTTAAATTTAAAAAATCCTTTAAAATTGCACAAACAAGCATAAACAACACTAGCATAAGAATGCACTTTTAAAATCATATATTTTGTTCTTCCTTATTATATTGGTATGGAGCTTAGCCACACGAATTATATTTTAGACTAGGCCAACATTAAGGGTTAAAGAAGAATTAAAAGCAGCAAGGGCAGTGGCTCACCCCCGTAATCCTAGCACTCTGGGAGGCCAAGGTGGGAGGATAGCTTGAGGTTAGGAGTTTGAGACGTGAGCAAGAGTGAGACCCGTCTCTACTTAAACAAAACAAACAAACAAACAAAAAAGAAGAAAAGAAAAAACTAGCCACGCAACTAAAAATAGAAAAAATTAGCTGGGCAGGTGGTGCAAGCACCTGTAGTCCCAGCTACTGGGGAGGCTGAGGCAGGAGGATCACCTGAGCCCAGGAGTTTGAGGTCGCTGTGAGCTAGGCTGACAACCACAGCACTCTAGCCCTCTAGCCTGGGCAACAGAGCAACAGAGTGAGACTGTGTCTCACAAAAAAAAAAAAGCAGTATGCTTTTAACAGTAGTGTGAGAGACACCCTTAAGAGGCTCCAGCCTCTAAACTCGCTCTGTACTTGCTTCATATCTCTGCAAACAGCAGGAAATTATTGTGATTTCTCTGTTTAGTGTCCGTGAACTCCTCCAGAGCAAACAGGGTCTTTCGATTCCAAACAGCAGCACAACACTGGCATGTGGCAGGAACTCAATCATTGTTTGAGGAATCAAGAGAATACAAAAGTATCATAAGTATTCCGTGATGCTCCCAAATAGCAATTTCCTGGCTTTCGGGGGAATGGAGACACTTTGGTTTCAATTTTTGAATATAATAAATTGATGAGTTTACTGGCCGTTTAGATTTCAGCAATATGATACCATGTATATATAGATAGATCCTCATTAAAAAGCAAACAGAAAAGTTTGTTTCCTAAGACACGTTGGAAATGGCGCAGAGGAAAATGCAAATATTAACCTGAAAAAATTTTTGATTTTTTAATGTATAGTTAAGGTACTATATTACTTTAAGATACGTGTAGGCAAATATGTTAAGCTTCCATAATTTGGAAGGTTTCAGAACACTGGAAAGTGAGACTGAGGGTCACGTGCACCTGCCCTGAAGCAAACGTCACATTTCTGTCACTGCTCACCAGACTCACGCTCCACTACAGTATTTGTAAACTAGAATGCAGTAAGGGCATATATTTGGCCTTCATTTATTCAAACATTTATTAAGCACCCATTTTGTGCCAAACAGGAGGGGCTGTGGATTAAAGGATAAAAACATGCCCCATCCTTAAAGAATTCTCTAAAAAGAAAAGAAGCTTACAAACAAACCAAAAGCAATTTATTATTCACACATTTGTATAAACTAGCCTCTGTTCTGAGTGAATACAGCCTTTTCTAATTTCCTTACCAAAGCCAGTAGATATAAGTCCACATTAATAAAATTTCCCCTGAGAATTAATTGTAAAATGAACCACTTTGGCCAAATTTGCAGAAGAAAAAACATTCTCTGGCCAAGGACTCGAATTTCAAGTTTTAACCTGAACTGAATGCATGAGGAAAAGGGACTGGTCCGTTATGGAAATGCTGACAGACTCACACTGCCAGGATGCAACCACAGTGTTGCATTTACTGAAAATTAATGAAGTCCTGAATTTTTATTTATAAAGTGACTATTACTAGTTTTAGATTATTTTTCTGCAAGCCAATAGTCAAAATTTAATACGATGATGTGTATAGATTATACCGATTTTCACTCTTATCCACCGCTTGCAGCCTACGTGCATTTAAACCAAAAAACATTTGATATATACTAACTATAAATTATTTCCTTGGAGATCTCTCAGGCATGAAGAAAAAGCCTCTTAAAATAAATTTAAAATATTATATGCTTGATGGTGTATAACCGAAGGTTTAATCTCACCACTGAAGGGGCAGTTACCATGATTCTGCAATAAGCCTGCAGACAATAATCAAGACAGCTCCTGTTGTTCTCTCAGTAAAATCTCCGTAAACACAGCATGGATATATTGTAATTTGATATCTGTAAGATCAACAGCTATACCTCATGACAACTCATAATATAAGATTTTATTCATCATTAAATCAAGTGTTTTCCTCAGAAGCTAAAGGAAAGGTTATTTACCAAGCACTGTCCTATTAACCAAAGGTTAGCACATTAAAATAGATATTTTCTTTCAAAAAGTGCAGTCTATAAAGTGAGCTCTGAATGTAGGAAATCTGATTTTTCAAACTTTGGGGAAATGTTTCTGTGCCATATTTCCGTCATTATTTTAAAATAACTGATTCCAATTATTTTTCTGCTACAAATATAAGAAATATTCCCAAAATAGAGCTCTTTATGATTAGTTAGGTTCAAAAATGTCTGTCTCCACTTCATCATGATATTAATATTATTCTAATTTTTAAAGAAAAAAGGAAAGAAAAAAAGAAGGCAATTAGAATAAACACAAATGGTGACACAACTTCAGGAAATCAGGAAACATGTAATTCAGAAAAGGATGAAAGACAGTATAAATTAGTATCAAAGGCATTCAAAATGGAGATTACTAGAAGAATTCAATTACTGGTCACACACACACACAAAAAAAACAGTACACACACTATTTAAATACAAATAGGTTACCAAATCAGTATTTCAGAAGTGTAATAAAACCATCTTTCACTCACCAATGCTGGATTTTCTCTTGGCAGTTAGTGACCACCTGTCATGAAAACAGATAACTACTCATGAAAAACAGGGCTATGCACACACAGAGCTACAAAATCAGTGCATCTGAAAACTAAAGCAGTGGCTTTACAGATTTAACAGCATCTCGGCATACATTTTTATTTGTCAAATGCACAGAGATGTGAGTGCTAGTTTTTAAGCAGCACACTTTATCACAACCCTCTAATGCAGGCTGATAACTGCAGAACAAATTACAGCTTTCTGATTCATACTTTGGTACAAAACCCGCTTCATAACTATTAGGTGACATATGATATAAGATAACTAGTATTTTGTACAATCTACAGACCTGTTTTCAACGTTACATATTTTGTAGAATAGGCAAATGTCATAAATAACAAGAAACCAAGGTAACATCCACGTTTCATCAGCAAAAAAAAAAAA